ACACCATGGTTACAGGAGCATGAAGTTCCATGAAGAGCAAGAATCTTACATCATTGAGTCTACTATTCTCTTTTTGCTGAAAGTAGAACAGAAATGGTTGTGGAGACAATCGAGCACCACAATTAAGTTGTAAACAACATTATAATACCTTTAGATTTTATTGTTAATTCCCTGCTTAAAAATTGTTAAATTCTATCCTTTGTGCCTCCACGTTTCTGAACTGCTTTATAGCTCTTGTGACTATAAAGTTATGGAAAATCATTTTGACAGATCTTTTGTGAAAGACCTTGACATTTTGAAAGGTGAAGGAGCCATTCAATCAGTGATGGATCCTGCTTTATGTTTGAGCATTTCGTCACGGTTTTAAATAAAGCCTCATTAAAATAGCAGTGATAGATATCTATTCCCAGATGTGCAGCATTAGTCCAATCATCTTTCCATTGAGACTCTATTGTCTAGATTGCTGATTATTCATGGCTAACTGCACATGCACTGCTATGTTTTCTATATCCTTGTCAATATGTGACATACACGGAACAATCCAATACTGAAAATGTTTCACTGTAGACTTTTTTGAATTGCATGCAGCATCTAGTTTCAAACCTTTTATGGAATAATTAGATATTCAGAAACTTTTCTTTTCCCTATTCCTCACACATTATGTTCTATCTTTTGAATCTAACTTAAAATGAACCCTTAAGTAATACTTGACATTTTGTTTCAATGAGATATCACAATAATAACAAAGCTGTCGTGAGAATGACGAGAGAGAGTGGGCAAAATGTGCTGATGTTTTGTGCTATCTGATCTTTGCATGGACGTTAGATAAACATTTCCAGGTTTTTAATGTTGGGAATAATGATTAGCTTGCAATGCAGAAAGGATTCACTGATATGCTATTTCCTGTTGAAAGTGTATTTTGTAATAGGACATTTTGTTGTAGCTGATTCAAACCTTCTATTTCTAAATTTACAATAATCATCCACAAAGTCAGTATATATTGAAGAAAGGAAAGGCATTTTGTTCAATGTTCATATGAGTCCCTCTATATTGCTTAAAGCATGACTTTACACATTTTAGACACTGCCTGTTTGAGCTTTTTCCAACTCTCAGTTCATGCCTAGACTGTAAACTTGTTTTTATGATGTGAACTGCATATCATTATTTTCTACCATGACGTCTAGATGCCCGGTTTTCTTGTTTGTTTTAAATTTATTGTTGAAACAGTGTTCAGCTGGTAAAAAAAAATTCCAAACACCCTTCTTTTCCTGATTTTGATTCTCTGTGGTAATGTTGACTACAGTTTCTACCTCCTGATCAGTTTCTGTGTTTTTTTATTGTATGATCCTTTGTATTTACCTCTTCCACACGCCATTCTGAAGGAAGGAAACATTTGCATTTCTCTGGCACTTTGTTCTCTCTTCAGGGTGGACTAATACTTTTACTGTCAATGGATTGCTGGTTAAATGCAGATACAACTATATAGGAAAGAATGGCCATCGGGATGCTGACACATTAACATCTTACTCTAAGTATGGTGACCAACACTGTGACTCTGTTCTCCAGATGTAACACTGAGGTCACATATTGTTTTTGAATTCAATTCTGCCTTTGCTGATGGCCCACAATACCTCATGGATATCTAGCTTTGAGTTGCTAGATCTGTTTGAAAACTATCCCACTTAGCACAATGGCAGTGCCATACACCATAGTGCAAGGTAGCCTCAGTATGAAGATGAGACTTTGTGTCACAAGACTATGTGGTGGTCACTTCTACCAACACTGTCATAGACCAATGCATCTGCTGTAGCCAGGTTAATGAGAATGAGGTCTAGTTTATTTTTCCCTCTTTTTAGATCCCTCACCACTGACTGCAGACCCAATCTAGCACTTATGTTCTTATGGATTCAACCAGCTTGGTCAGTAGTGGTGCTGTCAAGCCACCCTTGTTGATGGACATTCAAGTCCCGCACTCAAAGTACATTCTGTGCCCTTACCACCCTCAGTGCTTCCTCCAGCAGTGTTCAGCAGGGAGGAGTACTAACTCATCAGCTCAGGCAGGCAGTACGTGCTTATCAGCAGGAGGTTTCCTCACCCATGTTTACCTCAAGCTATGAGATATCTTGTGCTTCAGAATCAATTTTAAGGATTCCCATGGCTGCTCCTTCCTGACTGTATACCACTGTTCCCATCCTGCTGTGTTTGTCCTGCCAGAACTTATAAAAGACAGTTAAGAACATAAGAACTAGAAGCAGAAGTAGGCCATCCGGCCCCTTGAGCCTGCCCCGCCATTTAATAAGATCATGGCTGATCTTTTTGAGACTCAGCTCCACTTACCCGACCGCACACCATAACCCTTAATTCCTTTACTGTTCAAAAATTTATCTAGCCTTGCCTTAAAAACATTGTGAGGTAGCTTCAACCGCTTCACTGGGCAGGGAATTCCACAGATTCACAACCCTTTGGGTGAAGAAGTTCCTCCTGACCTCAGTCGTACATCTGCTTCCCTTTATTTTGAGGCGATGCCCTCTAGTCTTAGTTTCACCTGCTGGCGGAAACAACCTCCCTGCCTCCACTTTATCTATTCCCTTCATAATCTTACATGTTTCTATAAGATCTCCCCTCATTCTTCTGAATTCTAATGAGTATAATCCCAGTCTACTCAGTATCTCCTCATAATCCAACCCTCTCAACTCTGGAATGAACCGAGTGAATCTCCTCTGCACCCCCTCCAGTGCTAGTATATCTCTTCTCAAGTAAGGAGACCAAAACTGCACACAGTACACTCCAGGTGTGGCCTCACCAGGACCCTATACAACTGCAGCATAGCCTCCCTGTTTTTAAACTCCATCCCTCGAGCAATGGCGGACAAAATTCCATTTACCTTTTTAATTACCTGCTGCACCTGCAATCCCACCTTCAGCGATTCATGCACAAGGACACCCAAGTCCCTCTGCACAGCAGCATGCTGCAATTTTTTACCATTTAAAACATAGTCCATTTTGCTGTTATTCCTACCAAAACGGATGACCTCACACTTATCAACAATTGTGATGGTAGAGCCTGGGACATTGTGAGGTGTGTTTTTGTGAGTATGACTATGTCAGACTGTTCCTTAACTAGTCTGTGAGACAGCTCTCCTAATTGTGGCACTGGTCTCCAGATGGTGATAAGGCGCATGTTGCAAGGTTGACAGGTATTTTGTTTTAAGTTTATTGTTGAAATGGTGTTCGGCTGTAAAAACATTTCCAAACATCCTTCTTTTCCTGATTTTGTTTCTCAACCGGTATGTACTGTTGTTGTTTCTGGTGCATAGATTATTGTCTAGTGGTCTGTTAGTTTCAGGCATTTGATACTTTTAGTGGTTTGATACAATTGAATGGCTGGTTAGACCTTTTCAGAGAGCAGTTAAGGGTCAACTACATTGCTGTGGAGTCACATGTAGGCCAGATCAAGTAAAGACTTCTTTTCCTAAATGACATTAGTAAAGCAGATGGAGTGTGATTATTATCAACAAGTGGTTTCATGATCATTATTAGACTTTTAATTCCACATTCCTTTTCACATCCAATGACATATGTGGCAGTCACATAATCTTGCTGTCAGTCTTGTGCAAGATGAAACCACAGGAAATTGTTTCTTAATAAAGTTAATACTTACCTTACTTCAGCAGAAACTGTACGTATTCTTTAGCAGCACAACCAGAGAAAGGGTATATTAAAAAACAATTAAACTATTCATCACATTGTTCTTCATGGAAATTAGGTACCTAAACCTATTGCCCGCGTAATAATACTGACCAAATTTGAATATTATTTTGTGAGGACTTTTGTGATACTTTTCTGAGATGTTCAAGGTGCTTTAAAGATACAAGCTTTCTTGTGTTGCACCTTCTTTCAGACTCTGTGTCTCACTCAGCTGTTTGTCACTCACTTGTCTTTCTCTGAAATCACAATCACTTGGCACTGACTGAATCTAGTGCACAGTGGCTGAGTCAATAAAAACTATAAAGTAACAGCAGTATTGATATAAACTCCATTTGATCACGGTGAACATTCATTGAATCAAAATTGCAAAATTTTGTGGCAATATTTTCTTCATTAGTGTTAGAAACACCTTCTGGACACTTCTGTTTGTCAGAAGGAAATAGACATAACTTTGACAAATGGAAAATTATTAATTTATCTCTAATCTCCTGCAACACCATCTCTGCTCCTTGCACATTGCAACTTGAACCCTCCATAACGCTGACTAAAGGGGCATCTAAACATTCTCCACATCCCCACAATTTGTGCCAACATTGGTGACTATGACCCCAACCAGGATGGCCTAAATCTCCGTAATTTCCTTCCTGCGACCCTGTGCCTTATTCACCTACTACCTCTGTTAGTTCACTGTGTACATTTTTTCCCAGGTAGTTGTGTGAAATGTTTGGAATGCTGAGATTTTGAGGCCTTTTCAGGTCTAGAGAACATGAGGTAGTCACAACATGTATTGATGTCTGTTTGTAGTTGGTAGGTTGCCTATCATCAAAAGCTTATGGCTGGAGAGACACCACTCTGCATAAACCATGACTGACCAGGCACGTCTCCTGCTTTTGCCACCTGCCTATTGGAAGTATTGACAGGTTGGTAATCAACCTGTTTGACCATGTTATTAATGTACCCTCCATGGTTAACAAGTCCTTAAGCTTATGGCTCAAAGGCAGGGACCCTATTCACTGGTGAGCCATAAGACCTATTTTCTACCTTGAAGGTGTGGTAGATTTGCAAATGTATTATATGTAAATTTACTGCTTTATACAGAAACAACATGAATATTTAAAACCTCCATCAACTTTGGAACTTAGCGAGCAATGAAGAATTTGTTACAGTTGCAAAAGATATTCCCATGTGCAAATGTTTTTGATTGTTAGACAGTATCTCAGATCAGTCAGTGAGAAAAGATTGAAATATATTTCTGACAACAAAGTTAATCAACTGTCTTGTGTTTTCTTACAGAGACTTGCCAAAGCTGCAGAGGAATATCAGGAGAAACATGTTTGGAGAGAAGAATTTGGGGTAAGGGCTTAAGTGTCCTTTTGGCCCTCACTAAGGCCTGAAGGCCATTCTTCAGCTGTGATTCTGTATCTGGCCTCCCCGTGTTTGTAGCAGGGATTCACAATTGAAGGACACAATGCATAGTGATTGAAAATCAATGCCTGTCTCTTCGAGCTTTATTTTAAGATTTGTTCAAAGCTGTTGAGGTGTGACCAGTTGTCTGTCATCCATCAGTGACCTACTTTTCAGTATTAAGTATGACTTTGTTGTTCGGGCATTTATATTGATCGATCCAAACACAGTTAATTATTAAATGTGGGATCCCCTTTCAGAAACAATCTGCAGTGCAGTCAGGGCTATACATCTGAAACCAATTGATTGATATTTCTCACTCAGAGATAGTAGGAACTGCTGATGCTGGAGTCTGAGATAATGAGGTGTGGAGCTGAAGGAACACAGCAGGCCAGGCAGCATCAGAGGAGCAGGAAAGCTGACGTTTTGGATCAGGACCCTTCTTCAGAAATGGGGGAGGGGATGGGGCTCCGAAATAAATAGTTGGGGGGGCAGTGATAGCAGGTAGATAATGGAGCGGATAGGTGGGAGAGAAGATGGACAGGTCAAGGAGGCGGGATTGAAGCTACTGAAGCTGAGTGTAGGTGTGAAGTTGGGGTGGGGATTGGTCAGTGAGGTGGGAGGAGCGGATAGGTGGGAGAGAAGACAGACAGGTCAGGGAGGTGGGGATGAGAGGAGGGGCTGGTCTTGGGATGAGGTCGGGGGTGGGGAGATTTTGAAGCTAGTAAGGTCCACATTGAGACCATTGGGTTGTAGGGTTCCAAGGCGGAATATGAGGCGCTGTTCCTCCAGCCTTAAGGTGGCATCGTTGTGGCACTGGAGGAGGCCCAGGATGGACATATTGTCCAGGGAGCGGGAGCGGGTAGTTGAAGTGGTTCGCGACTGGGAGGTGTTGTCGTTTGTCACGAACTGAGCGTAGGTGTTCCACAAAGCGTTCTCCGAGCCTTTGCTTGGTCTCCCTGATGTAGAGGAGGCCACATTGGGAACAGCAGATACAATATACCACATTAGTAGATGTGCAGGTGAACATCTGTTTAATGTGGAAAGTTTTCTTGGGGCCTGGGACGGGGGTGAGGGGGGAAGTGTAGGGGCAGGTGTAGCACTTCCTGCGGTTGCAGGGAAAAGTGCCGGGGGTGGTTGGGCTAGTGGGGAGTGTGGAGTGGACGAGGGAGTCGCGGAGCGAGTGGTCCCTCCGGAAGGCAGAAAAGGGTGGGGAGGGAAATATATCCTTGGTAGTGGGGTCAGATTGCAGGTGCTGGAAGTGGCGGAGAATGATGTATTGAATCCGGAGGTTGGTGGGGTGGTACGTGAGGATGAGGGGAATTCTGTCTTTGTTTTTATTGTGGGGAGGTGGTGTGAGGGCTGAGGTGCAGGGAATGCGAGAGATGCGGTCGTGGGCGTTTTCGATTACTGAGGGGGTGAAATTGCGGTCCTTGAAAAACGAGGACATCTGGGATGTCCGGGAGTGGAACGCCTCATCTTGGGAGCAGATGCAGCGGAGGCAGAGGAATTGGGAGTAGGGGATGGCATTTTTGCAGGAAGCTGGGTGAGAGGAGGTGTAGTCTAGGTAGCTGTGGGAGTCAGTGGGCTTGAAATAGATATTGGTTTGGAGGTGGTCAGCAGAGATGGAGACAGAGAGGTCCAAGAAGGAGAGAGAGATATCAGTGATGGTCCAGGTGAACTTGAGGTTTGGGGTGGAAGGTCTTAGTAAAGTTAGTAAAGTATTTCTGTTTTGTTTTGAATTTTTTAAAATCCAATCTCCACTTACGCTACCTCCCCGGCCCCCAAACTCCATTTCTCTGCTCCTCTCCTACCCAACTTCAGTGGTCGCGAGTTCTGAAGCTCTGACTGAGTTATAACAGCTAACCTCCCGCTCTCACGTACAGCACCTGCGCTGTCAGATTCCACCCTCCCCCACCAACTCAATTCTCACTGACGGGCCACGATGGTTTGCAAGCCACAAATTGGGGCCACCGTGGGAAAAGTTTGGGCAGGTTTGCTGTAGACCCAAGGTGGATTCTCCTGTTCATGGGGCTTAACCAAAGAAAAGTGTCTGAATTCTTTTTTGACTGCATGCTGCACAGAGATTTTTTTGGGGTGTTCTTATTATGAGCAGGCATTCGCCTGTGCCTGGACTAGGCTATATTCAACTCTCCTACCTTAATGACCTCTCTGCCATAATACTGGTAGTCAGGTTTGCCCTCTGTAGACCAGAGGGTCTTTGGTAGTCCATGGGATACATTAAATATTTGCATGTATGCTATGCTCCTGTCTCAGGCTACTCAATAGCCATAGCAGCCTCCAGCCTTTTGTCTACTTATTTTTATTGCTTCTGTTCTGCCCTCCTACATAGAAAATGCCTGCCAGCCAATTTAATCCTTGATATGATGGACTGGCTTTAGACCAAGAACTCACTGTGGGGAATTGCAGCTTACTAATAATGCAAGTGCATGAACCTTTCTCTGATATATTGTGCAATTAATATCAATGGATATGAATGCAGATGGAATTTCAAACAGACATAAGATAATGCTAAAAGGGCACACCACATCTGGAGGAATGGTTTGATTTCACAACTAACATTGTTGAGCAATTAAAATAACATCAGAACCTTGAGATCACTCCCATAGCGTCTATTGTTTTATCAGGAAGCAGAATGCATGGGTGTAGTGTTCCTCCAGTTTCTTTTTTACACAGAAATCATTTCAGTGTACAGAGATGGTGCGTGGTAACTACGAGAGTGGAGAATTAATGTTGGTAACAAAATCACTAACTTTATCAAGAACCAGGATAATCGACTGCTAGTAAACAGTCAGTTTATTTAGTGCAGTATTGATCGATTGAAAAGAAATGCTGGCATCTTATTTAGCTCTTGTATGTCCTATCATTTTAACATTCAATGGATTATCCATTAATGTAGTTTTCCATGTAAATCACTGAGGTAGAAATACATTAGGATCACGGAAGTGAAAATATCTAAGGAAGCTGGATACTACCCGATATCCTTTGTAATAATTGCATTTTCTAGTGGCTTTGTGCTCTCAGATGGAAATCTGATGGTGCCCATTTTTTGAGCCTGATTAACTTCTTGTGAAGTGACTTTGCTCATATTTCATCTGCTTCTCTTATGCAGACACCTGTGACAAATTTGCTTGTGATGCATCCAACCCTGCTCAATCAAGAAGCTCGACCCTGAAGCATTAGGCTACTTGATGGACACTTTTTTGTTGTTGGTGTTTGCATTGGCCGTTAGTCAGGATTTAGTGACCAAATTTCATGCCACTAACTGTCCTCTGGTCACTCAGGTCCACCCCATCCGTTGGCCTAGACAGAGGTTGAGGATAGGGGGCAGTAGGGCTACCCATTGTAATTAAGTGTCAACTCAACCAATTAAGGGCTTTTTAAGGCACATTGTTGGAGGCAAATGGGATTTTCCTGTAATTTTCTAGGTCCCAAGATGAGATGGGTTAATTAACTCCTTTTTAGAATGGAATTGATCTAAGTCATTTTTAAAAGTATTCAATGCCCCAGCTTCCATAGCTCTCCTGGAAAGAGAATTCCATGGACTAATGACACTGAGAGAAGAACACATCTCTTCATCTCTACCTTAAGCGGAAAACTCCTTATTTTTTAAGTATGGTGCTTAGTTCAACAACAAGGAACATCCTTTCACCATTCACTCTTTCAAGTCCCTTCAGGATCTTCTATCTGTAATATGACCACTTGTCATTTTGCTATACTTTAATGGATACTGACCCGACCTATACACCTTTTCCTTTTAATTCCTTCATTCCAGGAACCAGTTGAGTAATCCTTTCTGGATTGATTTTAATGCTATCGTATAAGTTCTTTATTAAATTAAATTCTCAACTAAATTTGTCTTACAAATCATTTGGTGCAATTGCAACCTAACTTTTTGTGATTCATAGGGCAGCACGGTGGCTCAGTGGTTAGCACTGCTGCCTCACAGCGCCAGGGACCCGGGTTCGATTCCACCCTCGAGCGACTGTCTGTGTGGAGTTTGCACATTCTCCCTGTGTCTGCGTGGGTTTCCTCTGGGTGCTCTGGTTTCCTCCCACAGTGCAAAGATGTGCAGGCTAGGTGGATTGGCCATGCTAAATTGCCCATTGTGTCCAGGGAGGTGTAGATCAGGTGGGTTACAGGAGGATGGGTCGGTGTGGACTTGTTGGGCTGAAGGACCTGTTTCCACACTGTAGGGATTCTATGGTTCTATGTACCAAGTTGCCCAGATTGAATACTCTGGATCACTGACTTCTACAAACTCTGTCTATTGAAATATGCTCCCTTTCTATTCTGCCAGCCAAAGTGCAAAAGTTCACATTTTCCCACATTATACTCCATTGGATGACTTGTTCATTGATATCGTATGAAAAATGGAGATGGAGGTAGATGATCAATCATGATCTATTTGTATAGTGGACTATGTTCAGTGGACTGAATGAAGCTGGTCCTATGTCTGATATGTCGATTACTAATAAATTAAGATAATGAAGACCATCAGATCAATTGGATCTCAGGTGCACCAATGTTTGCAGGAGGGATGTAAACATTTTTAGTGTTGATGTTATATGTTGCAAAGAGCTCAAAGTTGAAGGAATACAACATTCCCAAAGGGTTGTAAAGCTGGAGTAGTTTACCACGTTAAGGTGGAATGATGCCACAAAGCAACTTAAATGCAACAAGGAGAACTTTACATTTGAAAAGGTGAAGTGCACAACCTATAAAAGGTCATTGAGTACAGAGGTGATTGGCAAGCTGAACCCCATCCGAGATAGAGCACAGGCTGGAGGGTGGAGGTTGGTTTGGGATACAGTACAGGCCGGAGGTTGGGGGTTTGACTAGGACAGAGCGCAGACTAGAAGGTGGAGGTTTGTCTGGGATAGAGCACAGACCAGAGAGTAGAAATGACCAGAAATTCATTGGAATAG